TTGATTACTTTTTGATAAATAATTCGTTCTTATTGCGAAATAGGAGCACTATTTATCAATCTGTAATAAAAGACGTGAAGAAATTCTGTCTTTTTTAAAGACAAACATTTTCGAGGCGAAATACCCAAAAAGAAGTTTGTAAAAAATGAATCGGCCTCAACAATATAGAACTTATCTATATGTTATTACTTCTTTGCTTTTTGTAACTGTGCAAACTACAGAGTTTATTAATAAGTATGCGATAAAAGTTGGGAAAGCTAAGACTATTTTTTATGTTGTGGTTAATTATATTATTTTTTATGTCAGCTCTCGAAAGGTTAATTTTTATACATCCTAAACAATTTTTTTGTCGACAAAAGCGACGGGTTTTTTCTTATGTCGAACTTTTTTAGGGTCTGAAACCTAAGAAACCACTTGAATTTATTTCGATTTTTTGCTAATGTATGTTGAAACATTTTTAAGAAGTTTGAATTTTAGAAGATCCTGTTTTCATAAAGAACTGTGGTTGGGAAAAGTTTAAGCTGCAAAAACGAAAAAAACAATTTTTCCTAGGACGCTTGGAACTTGGAATGCTTTTTCCCAGAGGGATCAGGCCTTGTAACCGTTAATGCAATTTTTCCAACTTTTTCGGCTACTGGAAAATCGTCTATTTTCTTCAGCTGACTGGTTTTAAAAACAAGTTTGCCGTCGTCAACAACATAAGAAACTATGTGAGATGGCGTCAACTTTAATTTTTTTTCAATGTCGGCATGTAATATTTTAATTACTTACGTTTTATAACATCTGTCCTTTTCATGACTGCAAACTACAAACCTTTTTGAGGTTGCAAGGTATTACAATCTTTCTTTGGCTTCCGTAGGACAAAACGCTTATTTGAGAATCTTTTTCAATTTGATAAGCTTCTGGAACTATAGATTGTCGAAGCTCACAACTTTTTAAATGTAGACACATTGCTAATGTAATTTGTAGCTCATTTAAATTTAATTATTTCAACTTTCTGTATGACGACGATTTTTGTCCTAAATTTAAGATTAGTGTAAATTAGACACAACAAATTGAACAAAAGCTATAAAGGGTTAAAAATGTAACTGTGGAATTACAAGTAGATTTAATTGATTCCAAAGCCAATTGAAAAATAAGCATACAAGACAACATTTGTATTAACAATTTTTTTTGTATAAATTTGGTTTTTCTTAAAAAATCTGTTCAGTTTTTTGCATTAAACGGGAATTAGTTTCCTTTAATTGAACAGATCACTTCAGCATTCAGAAGAAAGTGTCGCGCTCTATATACAATCGTTTTATAACAGAAATCGATTTAGAATGCCCATAAAAAAGAACAATTTAAATTTTTAGTTACACATTACGTTACACAAAATATGGAAAATAAACTTTTGAAAGTACAGAAAAATAAAATAAAGACGTAGACATATTCGAACTAAGCCCTGAAGTAACAACAAGCTAGGAATGAAATAAACACATCGATGTTTCGCAAACATCGATGTAATTCGTTCGATGTTCGATATTTTTACCATCGATGTTGGAAATTTGGGACATCGATAAAAAATCGATGTTAGATCCTGAAATGAAAACATCGGACATTTTATGTTGATACAAGATAGAAACATTTTCTGCGAACGCTTTGATAGTGCCGATACAAACGATATCGCGGCATAGCGACCCATTTTCAGCTGCACCCGAAAAAAGCCTCTTTTTGCCAGTTGACTTACAAATGTGGCAACTATAAGTTGAATAAATTTAGTCGATGATTTAATGTCATAGTAAGTAAGTAGTAAAATAAAATTATTTAAGTTTAAGTTAATCAATGTTCTGTCTTTGATGTTTCCCTAATATCGATAATACCTTTCGATGTCACCATCGATGGCTACCATCGATGTTATAGGATCGATGTCCCATCCTTACTACAATATCACCAAGACACTTAAATTTTCCTAAAATTAATTTTACTTACAACCGAATGTTACTACACTTAGCAAATTCTTTGAGTAAGTTTTATATGAATATGATACTTGCTTCTGTTAAAAATACCGATGTTACTTGAATTATTTTAATTAATTTTATTGAGTTTTTTATTCTATTGAGCAGAATCAGAATCCAGCATCAGATCGATATCAGCAGATCACCTGCGCTTAACAGATTGTGCCAAAATATGATAAATCCATTGTTTCAATATTTTCAAAGTCTATTATAAAGCAAACTTTTAACACAATTCTTTAATCATAGAACAGGCTTAACACGTTTGAATTATTGCACATCATTACGAAAAAGCTTCCGCACGATAGAAAATATTTCAGCTGATTCAGAGAACAGAAGTTATCGAGTGAAATCCATAATGCCTCTTGAACGGACAGCGAGACCAAAACAATTTTCAAAGTTAAACAACCACCAGAAAATATTTGGAATAAAAATCGAAAAATGGAAATTTCCGTTTGAGACTGAGCGGAGATATTTCAAAATGAGCAACATCTAAACCATTCCAGTTACACTCAAACATTTGACTAAAAATTTCCAAACTTCCATTGTTCTCCTAGCGGATTTAAGCCAATTTTTTTCCTAACTAATCCAAACTAACCGAAACTTACCATTGATGGCATCAATTTGGTCCGATGCACCTGCACTTCTTAGAGCTTCCTCCAATTGTGCTCTTCTGTTCATCTCCAAATCCAGCTGATCCTGAAGCCGTTTCCTGGTGCGTTTCTCTCTTCTGAGTCGTTTTTGGAAATTGGCTGCAACAGAATCAGATAGGGTAACCAGTTGTTGACGACAGGAAATAAAAGAAAATGGAGGAACAAATCGTACTGTTGTAAAACAAGCAATTAAAGAAGATACAAAAGATACGTTGCAGTGAATTAAGTGGCTACATCCTGCTTTTGCATGGTAGAATCATCAGTGAAATAATATATCTCATACCTGGCATTTATTGTAGTATGTAGTTTTTAATGTGGCGTTGCGGGGTAGAATTAGATCAGTGTTATTGTCTTCTAAATGCATAGTTTTTAATTGTAGTCGGTTTAAAAGTGGTTATTGTTGTGGAGGCCAAAATATATACCTGAGCGGTTTCTTTTATGATTAGCTGCTTGCATTGCTCAAGAAGCTGTTTCTGCGCGCCAGTAAAACTAATTAGATTCTTACGCGAAACGAAAAAAAATATAAAGGAAACAACATCAATAGGCACAAGATAATTTGCTTTGAAATTAAAGCGATTTCCTCTATTAATCTAATACAATATACCGCAACCGAAAATAAATTAAATATATTACCAAGCAGTTTTAACAGGTAATTACCGTTCAACTATTTTTGTCCCCGATACACATTTTTCCCGTATATCTATATGCAAATGAATAGGGCTTATATAACAACAAATAGTACCCAGAAGACACGGTACCGTAAACATTCTAAAATTCTCATGGTCAAAGAACTAAACGCATCACGGGTCATTGGTTGCGTCTTTCGGTTGTGGACTTTTCCAAACGGTTCCCGCTCTCCATGTTTAATAAACAAGACAAATCAAATAATTGTTTAAAAACTGCTGGAACATTTCACTTAATTGACCGATTGAAAAAGAAAGGCCGTGCGTTTTGGTAAACTTAATAGAATTGATGTTGGTTTCACGGACTTTTTGCTCGGTGGTTGATGCAGGCGCTTGCTTATTGGACCACCCAGATCGTTTGGGGTATGATTGGGAAGTGATTTTACTTAAACAACCGCCTCATTTGGCCGTTTCATCTACACACATGAAGACATTTTCACGTTTTAACACATAGATTTTCTAAGAATTTTATGTTTATCTTTACTCCGACTGCACTGATTTTTTTCTACGCAATGGCAGGAAGTACGTGTTTTGAGTATCAGATATTTAAAAAAGAGTAGATTCTACTCTGAACATTTTCAGTGGCTTTTGTTGCAAGCATTTAAAACATTTTTATGTATCTGATTTTTGTTTTGAACTATTTCAACGAAGCAACTTTGGAATCAACAATTATTTGAGATGGTCGGCTTCGGGAAAACGTGAAAATGAGCACAACCGACTTGAGTTTAGAACAGGATTCGTAATGTTCGTTCGTCTTTGATCTCATTTAGGCCAATTAGTCAAAGAATCTGCCACAATTAACCAAAAAATAAACACAATACATGGTTCGTTGAAGAATGCAGGAATCCCTTACAAGAAAGAAACCGTGCAACATGAAGTGTGCTGCAAAGAAGAACGGACGAATATACATGACTATGTGGAGAACTAAGAAAAAGAGCCAGAAATCAATGAGAACAAAGAAGACAGCACGATCAACGAAGACGGGAATAATGGAACGAGATGCCAACCATAACCGCTCTAGAAAGTTCTATAAAGAAATTTCAACCACAAAAACAGGCCCCGCAAAAGACATTTTGATTGATTTGTCTTTTGGTAAATAATTCTCAAGCCGAAAAACAATTTTTCGGCATTATTAAAGAGACGAAATAGATAAAAATGCCAAAATACAGGATTATGCATTTCATGTTTGGGAAAGTAAAGTAAATAAAACACACAAAATATTCAGATGGAGACTAAAATTGTAATTCAATATAAAGATTAAACCTTGGCATTATACGTGAAAAACAATATCATTTAAATGTCCTCTACGGGACCTCCTACAGGGCTCAATCTTTTTGAGGTAATTTTGAGTGACTTTTCGGCACATTACCGGTAATATCTCACAATAACTTCACTGATATTGACTTTCAGTTGCTCAAGAGTTTGAGGATTGTTGGCGTAAACACGATTTTTCGCATAGCCCCACAAAAAGAAATCTAACGGTGTTAAGTCGCAGGATCTTGCGGGCCAATTGACATCAATCAATCTCGAAATTACTAACTGCCAGTGTTGTGTGACTCGTTGTCCCATCCTGATGGAACCACATGTGTTCCAGATCATAATCTTCAATTTCTCTCCAAAATAATCGGTTAAGATGCGTCCATAGCGCTCAGAATTGACTGTTATGCTGCTCTTCCTTGATCGGTTTCAAGAAAATACGAGCCAAGAACACCACCGGACCATAATGCACACCATACGGTCACCTTTTCAGTATGCAAAGGCCTTTCTTCGATCACCTGAGGATTTTGAGACCCCCATAACGGCTGTTCTGTTTATTCACGTAACCACCGACCGAAAAATGAGCCTCATTGCTGAAGAAAATTTGGTTCGAAAAATCATCATCAACGGCTAGTTGTTCAATCACCCAATTTGCGTATGTTCTGCGTTGCTCATGGTCTTGAGGCTTAAGTTCTGGAGTTGGTTGAACTTTGTACGGATGGAGCTTCAAATCCGATTGCAAAATTCACAATTCGAAATTGTTTGCTCTGTGGATTATGTCGACCGTAATCTGCTCGTAAAGCTCTAAACGTTGATACAGCACCATTTTTATAGTAACATTTAATAATTTTTACCCGTTCTTCGACAGTTAAACGATCCATTTCTAGTTTATTTTCTATTTTCTCTCGTAAGCAAAAATCCAGCTATATTCACATGCATATTAGAAAATATTCACTTGGAGAATATTTAAGTTTTGCCTCAAATTTACGGCGCAGTGTATTTTCCCATTGGACTTATTCGAACTTATAAAACAACTTCAGTTCATTGTATAAAACATCAAAATCGTTTTTCCGTTAAATAATGAAATCAACTAGAAAACATCGAAAACTCACTTATTATTTACGGAAATTCCAACGCAATTTATCGAAGCTTAAATGATCGATCTATCATATAAAATGTGCACGGTTGGATAAAATAGAATATTGCACCTGTTAATGCGCACCAAAACACGAAAAAAAACCGATGCATTCCCGCATACAAAGCTCAAATTTTCCCATAAATATGTAAATTGCAATGGGCTATATTGATTTATGCCCTCTGGCTGGATGTATCAAACCTGTAATTTGTCTGTTTCAGACCGTAATTTTGTTTATCTATTTTGCGAAATCAACGCTATTTTAATTTCGATTTGGTCTATCGACATTTTGTTAGGCTTATATGTTGGGCAGAAATTGAATATTAATTCGCAAACAATGTTTATCTGCAAATTTTGATCCATACACTTCATTGTCTCATTGCATTATTTCAACCGTTGCCGTTTTCTTATCGTCGAAATGAATAAAACACTGTAGGTCGCCTGTGAGTGATCCGATCACGAATCGAATCAAACCACATCATTTATTCGGATCCCTCAAATTGAATAAAGAAACGTATTGGAAAAATCACACGTCGAGCTTATCGCCATTCGCAAATCACCCCGAAAAAGCAAAAAGATACACTTATCGGTCGCTTTCTCTCAGATTTGTCTCTAAATCCCCGAGGGTGGTAGGGAACGGTTTTATGTTTTTTTATGAAATATCCTAATACGGCTTTCTGCGTATGCAATACACTTTTTTACGACGGAATCAACGGAGCCGATTACCTTGCCTACAGTGGTGGGATTGCACTCAGAAAAACCACCGTAAATTAATGAGAAACTGGAAACTTTAATAAGAAAAAACCGATAAAAAAGCGTGAGAAGAACAACTGAGAGCTTATATCCAGATCAAATATTTATTTATATTTACGTGGTTAGATGTAGATCACATTCTTATTTTGATAACTCCAATTCTAACCGATGAAAAAATGTTTTCAAAAACCCAGTTCAAAAATTGCAACATTTTAAATAATGAGTTGAATGTATTTTGTACGTTTTATCTGAGACTTTTCAATATCCAATCAGCTGTGTTAACATTTTTGCACACAGTGACGCCTCTGAATTCCTTATATATAGAAATATAATAGAAAGAGATGAAATTTTCCCCTGCAAAAACGACGAGAAGCTATTTATTTTTATGTGAGTGTTATCATTGATAGCTGGAATAAACAGTGGAACTCCGTTGCGATTTTTACTGTTAAGGTGCTTTTTGATTTTATGATACATTTGCCGAGAAAACAATATTGCATTTAATGGGGAGAACTTAAAACCTAAACGGTTCACTTGAGCACCAGACGCAAGTTACCCAGAGCAAATTTTGGACGGGAAAAATTTAATGGGATTAACGAAAATATTTTATTTCAACACTGTTTTATCTAAGAGTGTTCTCAAGTGTTTCACTGACTTTCGGTACAAAATTTCGGACTACCAGGAAAGTGCCCAAAATATCCAAAGGTTTCAAGAAAGTTCGTAGGTATACAAATTCTGTTCGCTTTTCTTCAGTATTCTCAGAGATTTTCTGTAATTTTTGTCATTTTATTGTGCGGCATTTTTACAGTTGGTTTTAGAAAAATGTAAACCCTTCATCTATAAAACCCCAGAAAATTGCCTAAATATTTAGCCAAAAAATTGCTTTGTTCTGCTTAGAGACTGTGAAAAATTATCTTCTATGTTTTCTAAATTCCCAAAATCTATATCAACAAAACTTGAAGAATTTCAGCCTATTTGTAGATCCTCCTAATATACCTACTACTTGAAAAATACGTATTTTAGTGCGGTTTACACGCCTTGAACGAACCGACTACATCTAGAAAATTGTGAATTCTTTATTAACTCAGCGTTAGTAAAAGAGTAATTAAGAAATGCCTACAGTAAAATATAATAAATGTGAAAAGAGAAGCTAAATTTAACGAAACAAGCACCGAAGATCAGACCAAAAATAAGCGACTAACCAATCTTATAAAACAAAGTTCTCAACATTTTGAAGTTATTGCCAACATGAACTTAAATTGGAAAGAACAAAG